TCATTCCGCACAAGGCAGTGAAAGTTTGCATGCAAACTTCCAAGAGGTTGCGTGCAAACTTGCGAGGGGGGATTGGAAGTTTGCATGCAAACTTTTGCCCGCAGGCATGCAAGTTTGCATGCAAACTTGCGAGGGGCGGTTGCAAGTTTGAGTGCAAACTTTCGGGGGTAGGGCTGCAAGCTCGCGTGCAAACTGGGGATCAGGCCTGAGAGTTAGCCTGCAAACTTCCGCAGCATTTACACTGCACAGTTGGTGGTTTAAAGTTCCGGTCCAATTTTGCCAGGTGGGTTGAAAATTTGCATGCAGATGCACGCCCATGCAGGGGGTTGAAGGTTTGCATGCAAAATTACGAGGGAGGTTGAAAGTGTTCATGCAATTTTGGAGTTCAACCTGTATAAAATTCAATGAAGAAAAGGTTTGATCAGGTGCGATAATTGTAAAAGTAGCAGAATTAACTATTTTAGGCAAAACAAAAATTAATTACTTTACTTCGAATTATCCCCACAATGACATTTATACGTTATGTTACTGGCACATCTTCTGGCATTCTATTTGACATATCTTCTGGCATTTTATCTGGCATATCTTCTGGCATTCTATCTGGCATATCTTCTGGCATTCTACCTGGCATATCTTCTGCAATATGTTCTGGCACTCTATCTGGCTCATATTCTGGCATATCTTCTGACAGTTTAACTGGCTTTCTAACTGGCTAACATTCTGGCACTTTACCTGGCATACCTTCTGGCATTCTATCTGGCATTCTATCTGGCATACCTTCTGGCATTCTATCTGGCATATCTTCTGGCATTCTATCTGGCATATCCTCTGGCATTCTATCTGGCATACCTTCTGGCATTTTATCTGGCATATCTTCTGGCACTCTATCTGGCTTATCTTCTGGCATATCTTCTGACATTCTAACTGGCATTCTATCTGGCAAATCTTCTGGCATTCTATCTGGCAAACATTCTGGCACTTTATCTGGCATACCTTCTGGCATTCTATCTGGCATATCTTCTGGCATTCTATCTGGCATATCTTCTGGCATTTTATCTGGCATATCTTCTGGCATTCTATCTGACATTCTTTCTGGCATTCTATGTGGCATATCTTCTGGCGTTCTATTTGGCCGTTGAGGTCCAGCAGTGCCCACTGAGCTCGGAAGGTCCCAGGTTGAGGTCCAGTGGTGCCCACTGAGCTCTGAAGGTCCCAGGTTGAGGTTTTTGCGGTGCCCACTGGGCTCGGAAGGTCCCTGGTTGAGGTCCAGCGGTGCCCACTGCGCTCAGAACCTTGCGGTTGAGACCCAGCCGTGCCCACTCAGATCAGAGGCCGGCAGTTGAGGTCCAGCAGTGCACACTGCGCGCGGAAGTTGGCGAAGAGTTGGCAAGGCGAAAGTGGACATGGAAGTGGATGCAGAGGTGGTGGAGAAGAAGGTGGAGGACGAGGAGGAGGAGGAGGAGAAGGAGGAGGAGGAGGAGAACAACTGTGATAAAATCTAACAACCCTCACCTGGCAGGTGGGGAACTAATTGCCACAAATGGAGAAGTTAAGGAATGAGCTTTTAGGAAGGAAACTGCTGATCCTGGACTATTGAGCTCATAGCGGTCATCAGCTTGAATTTGGAGAAACATTGCTTTAACAGCAGAAACGCAAGTATAGCAGAGAAAAAAAAAACTAAAAGCCAAAAAAAAAACTAAAAATGAAAAAAAATGCCTTGCTGCCACGGCCTCAGGGACTTGTTGGAGCTGCAGGAAAGGTCTGCCGCGGCCTGAGTGGCGCCTGGGAGCTGCAGGGGAGGGTTTGGGGAGTTTTGCGGGCTGGCAAACGGCAGCCTTGAACCTCCTTAAAAGGACACTGCCAGGCCTCAGTACTGTTGGAGCTGCAGGAAAGGTCTGTCCGGCGTCGAGTGGCGCCTGGGAGCTGCCGTGGAGGGTTTGGGGAGTTTTTGAGGGCTGGCCAAAACGGCAGCCTTGAACCTCCTTACAAGGACACTGCCAACGGCCACTCAGGGACTTGTTGGAGCGCAGAAAAGGTGTGGCCGCTGCCTTATTTGGCGTCCTTGGTAGCTGCAGGGGAAGGTTTTGGCGAGTTTTTTGGCGGGCTGGAAACGCAGCCTTGAACGTCCATAAAAGACGCTTCCAGGGCCCGTCAGTGACTTTGTTGAGCTGCAGGAAAGGTCTGCCGCGGCCTGAAGTGCTCCTGGGAGCGGCGATGGAATGGTTTGGCGAGTTTTTGGCTGTGCTGGCAAACGGACAGCCTTGAACGTCCTTATAAGGACCTGCCAGGGCCTCAGGGACTTGTTGAGCTGCAGGCAAATGTCTCCGCGGCCTGAGTGGCGCCTGGGAGCTGCAGGGGAGGGTTTGGAGCAGCCTTGAACGTCCTTAAAAGGACACTGCCACGGCCTCAGGGACTTGTTGGAGCTGCAGGAAAGGTCTGCCGCGGCCTGAGTGGCGCCTGGGAGCTGCAGGGGAGGGTTTGGGGAGTTTTGCGGGCTGGCAAACGGCAGCCTTGAACGTCCATAAAAAGACGCTGCCAGGGCCTCACGGACTTGTTGGAGCTGCAGGAAAGGTCTGCCGCGGCCTGAGTGGCGCCTGGGAGCTGCAGGGGAGGGTTTGGGGAGTTTTGCGGGCTGGCAAACGGCAGCCTTGAACGTCCTTAAAAGGACGCTGCCAGGGCCTCAGGGACTTGTTGGAGCTGCAGGAAAGGTCTGCCGCGGCCTGAGTGGCGCCTGGGAGCTGCAGGGGAGGGTTTGGCGAGTTTTGCGGGCTGGCAAACGGCAGCCTTGAACCTCCTTAAAAGGACACTGCCAGGGCCTCAGGGACTTGTTGGAGCTGCAGGAAAGGTCTGCCGCGGCCTGTTGCGTTTTGAAACGCCGTAGAAACAGAGATTGCTGTGGCATGAGTGGCTCGTGGGAAGTGCACAGAAATTGCTGTGGCCTGAGTGGCTCCTGGGCGGTGAACAGAGGGTGCTATGGCCTGGGTGGCTCGTGGAAAGTGCAAAGCATTGGGAACGAAAAAAAGTTCCACACCTGCGGTGGTCCCAGGCGCCGCCCCTGCCTTGGCTAAGGCGGGGTCGGCGGATTACCATGATATGTACCCATAAAATATATATCATATATATATATATATATGATCTATATATATATATGATATATATATATAATATACATATATACATATTATATATATATTATATATTATATATATATATATATATTATATATATGTAGCTCAAAAGAAGACCCGAAATTCACCCATATCTACCGTCAAACCATGATTTTATCATGTGTTATCCCCATATCTGCCCACCTACTGGGGATGGTTGCGAAATCCTGTAGCAGTTGCTAACTATTAGTAACTATGAATAACTATGAATTTACTAATGTTATGTAATGTTATGTATTTAGTAAATAATGGGATTACAATGTGAAGAACCATCCAACTGGTGAAGAAAATTCGCAGCCATCCACAGTATGACGTCATAAGACCCACGTCATCACCAGGCCCCTATTGTTGACTCCAAAGCTCTCAGCGCTGAGATCGACAGCGTGGTAGTACGGCCACCCGGGATGCAGTAAACCCTGCGGATAGAAACCTAGTCTTATGATTTGGGCACACCATACCCACCCACTGTAGTCATTCCCAGAGTTATTGCAGTTTACTGTAAATTGCAAGCATTATAACTACGTATAATTTGCAGTTATAGTTGTATCATATATATATATAATAAAATATATATATATTGTATTTCGGTATGATTTAAGGAGATATGTATATATATATATATATGTGTATAGAGAGAGAGAGAGAGAGAGAGAGAGAGTTGTATTTGTTCATACACCTTCAGCATGATAAATTTCCAGTGCCAGGCCACTCACTGTAACCCTTTCGATTCCCCACCTGCCAGGTGAGGGTCTCTGGATTTTAGCAAAGGCGCCACTCTTCCTTCTCGTCTCCTCTGCGAGCTCCGGATGCTGTGTGTGTGCCTGGACCCGAACAACACATCGCCAGGTCCGGATGCTGTGGGGCACGTCTGGGCCCGAACACATGCCAGAGAGAATTCCAGATAGAATGCCATGGCAAAAAAAAAACTCCAGATAAAATGCGAGAAAGAATGTCAGAATAGATGCCAGAAAGAATGTCAGATAGAATGTCGGATAGAATGTCAGAGTATATGCCAGAAAGAATGTGAGATAGAATGTCAGAGTATATGCCAGAAAGAATGTCAGATAGAATGTCAGAGTATATGCCGGAAAGAATGTCAGATAGAATGTCATAGTATATGCCAGAAAGAATGTCAGAGTATATGCCAGAAAGAATGCTAGATAGAATGTTAGATAGAATGTCAAAGTATATGCTAGAAAGAATGTCAGAGTATATGCCAGGAAGAATGTCAGATAGAATGTCAGAGTATAGGATGTATAGGCCCGAAAGAATGTCAGATAAAATATTATATATATATGCCATATATATATATATACATACATATGCTTCCAGATGTTCAGTCAGAAACTATGTCAGAATAGTGTGTCAGGGTGGGGATCACTCGAAGTAAAGTAATTTTGTATACTTTTTACCCCCTAGAAAAGCTCACCCGGATAAAATCATAGCAAAAGGTCACTTGACCATTAATCAAACAGGTCACTTAGCCATCCATAGGATCCATCGGGTCTGATTCCACTGTGGTCTATGTGACCTTTTTCTGACACGCCAACACGCATTGACACACACACACACAATCACACACACACCATAGTCAAAGTATGCCAAAATGCTAAGTGACCTCTTTCTACACGCTAAGTGACCTCCTTCTCGATACCCCCCGCCCTGCAACGACACACTCTGTCACGCATTGACACGCATTGACACGCATGAAGAAGAGGCAGTTGCAATTTTTGAGCCCCAAACTACTGCAGCAGATGCGGAAACCGGCGCCGAACCTGTGGCCGGGCCTTCCAATATAGGCAACCCCAACAACCCACCATCGCCGGTGACCAGATGGAACTGCGCAACTTGATCGCCGGTGACACGGAGCACAGTTTGAATCCAATGGTGAAGTCCACCACCGAGGTGTGAGGCTGAATGGCACTTTGGCAATGGCGATGTTTTTTTGATGAAACTTTGGCATGTGTAGAAGACTATGGAAGACTATGGAATACTTAGAGATACGATGGGGAGATTTTATGACTATTTTTTGTTTTACTGTGAAGGTTGAACTTTTGGCGAATTAAATGCCTAAACACCTGTGAAACACGAGTGGTGTTAACCATTATGAGACCATTATTTATTAACCATTATTTATCAACATTTATCAACTCTTTTTTGCCAGCCTTTGTGCACCGGGTGTTCATATGTGTGTACACCACCCATTTTTTCCAACAACGGTGTCCCGTTCCGGTCGGTTTCTTTGACACGACCTGGACAAATTGGACCTGAGGGACCTGGGGACAGGTGCGCAAAGATGACGACGAAGAAGAGAGCCAGAGCCTTCATGCCAAGCTTCTTCGGTACAGATACGTCCGCAAGATCGAGGCCCCGGGCATTCTGGGCGGATGTGGGACACAGGGGACACTTGGCCTGGGGGGCTGGGGGGTTGGAAATTTCAGCCACAAAGATAGAACATCGTTAAATCCCAATAAGATGCTGGGAAATACCTATATCATTATATATATGATATATTATATATATAATATAATATATATATATAATATTAATATATAATATATATATAATATAATATATATATAATATAATATATATATATATGTGTATATAATATATATTATATATAATATAATATATATATAATATATATATATACAATATATATAATATATATAATATATATATAATATTTATATAATATTTATATAATATTTATATAATATATAGTATATATCTATATAATATATATATAATATATATCTATATAATATATAATATATATATTATATATTATGTATGTATGTACTATATCTAGTTTACTTTACTGGGTCTAGTATACAGCAATTGTATCACAGGCTAAACAACCCCAAATGCGTTGGGGAAACCGAAGTGGTGTAAAGCCAAATGGTCCGGATCAATTGTTCTCATCCGAGTGGCACGGCAGCCTGCTGTGAGAAGCCTGTCAGATCCATGAGTGACTATCATGGTGGTTAGCACTGGAAAAGGTGTTACAACAGCTAGAAATACGAAAGTCTCGCATCAAAAGGACTGGTGTTGCCATCAGCAGCACTAAAGAAATCATGTAAACTCAATGTTCCCAGATTAGGTTTAACAATTGATTTTGCAGCTCCAAGTGGCAGAATTTCATTTGCTCCGCACCAACGATTATAATTGGCTACTTGAATCTCACTATAAGCACTCAACTACCCTCTAATCATTTAACATGGCTAGAACATGGCCCGTTTCTACATGAATGACCTGTGTCCAATGGTGATTTTCACATATTTTAACCATAGCCATTTGAAATTACCATCATGTAACTATAGAATCATGTAAAAATTCCTTAAAATCACGTAAAGTCCGTTGTTCAATCCGTTAAAATCGTGATGTTAACCACAGCTGCCATAGCTATGTCGTTCATTTTTCAGCCGGCAGGCGCCTCCTCCACCGCTGGAACCGCTGGAGGGAAGTTATTTGAAGACGCCTCGAGAGGTGGACAAAATGGCGACTTGGCTTTGGAGCAGCCGGAGATTGATAGGTTGAGGGAACACATTTAATGATTAATGGATATATGATATATGATATATAAAGGGTCTATATATATATATTATATGTATGTATGTATTATGTGTGTGTGTTTATTGGGGATATAATGGTGAGTTGGAGAGAGGTGACGGTGTCTGCTCTTGTCAAGACAAAACTATGGGGGAATTGAGGCAAAAGAATAGTGATAAAAGGGGTGAAACCAAGGAAACTGGGGACTGAGGAAGATTGGGAATGGCAAGCGATTAAAACAGTGGATTTGACATTGATTTGACATGATTCAACTTGGATTATGCGAGACAACACAGGAAAATGGGGGACTTGAGGTACAAAAGCAGGCAAAGTGACATGAAATTGTCCCAAAACTTTTGGAGGCTTCCCCACCAGCAGGTAGTAAAGCCCAGCGCTGAAGGGATAATGGGAATATGTGTTTAAAATGTTAAAGGGGGTTCCAGGATCTCTATAAGATACCGTAAGTGTTGGGATGTATTTTTCAAGTGAATCTAATGAATGCAGGAATGTCTCACCAGTTGCAGGTCGTTCCCTTGCATCATTCAAATCACGGGCTGCCTTCTGGCTACATGCCTCTAAGATAATATCTCCATGACTATCTCTACAAAAATCTCCGCCCGAAAAAAATCTGCGGGATCCAAAGTTCCAGTCCCCACGGAGCAGCGTGCGCAAATCCTCCGATCCGCCCAAGGAGAAGAATTTGCAAACCTTCAGGCGGAACTACCTGGTGGCAGGGTTGATCCCACCATCCCATGGGGGATGGGCCAGAAGACCCCCCCATTGATGCGTCTTTGGCAGGTCAAACATTGGGAAAGTGATGCAAAAGCCATTTTTTGGGGGTGCAGCATTTTCAGATGGCAGGATTGGGTGGAAGAGAGATGCTTTAGTTCTCGGCCTCAGGGGTTGAAACCTTTGGATGTCTCACTTTAAGTCTCTGAGTCGCCCATCATGCACAGGTCATGTTGGTATGGTGTCACCTTCCAAATAACGTGGGTATGATATTTCGGCTAAATATTGGGAATGTGCAAGAATCACAATTATCTGTGCATGGATGGTGTCACAGTAGTACGGTAGAGCAGGATCATCAGATCCAATGCTAACGGGAGGAATGAGGCTTTAAACTACAGGAGTTCGGAGATACAACCTTGTGAGTTTAAACTAAGCTGGTGAAATAAGTTTGAATCAACCAAGCACCCAGAAGGCAAACAACCTTGTGAGATCAAATAAAATCTGCATAAATCATGTGTATATATATATACACATATATAATATGTATATATATATATGTATGTATGTAATTATATATATCTATAGAAATCTCGATTCTCCAGCATATTTTGGTTGGTCAAATCTCCCCTTTGGACAATAGAAAAGCTACCCGGCCCCGAAGCATCGCGAATTTTCTCCGATTTTCCCAAGGTTCGCGCGCAGCATTGGAACCGTGAAACCTCCGAACGGACCAGCACCGCTCGCTTTCGGCGTGCAGAGGATCCGGAGATTTTCGAAAGAAACAGCGCAGATGATGAGGATGTATCATATCAACGGCTATATAGATTAAATGATGAGTGATCAATAATTTATACTTATGAATCATAGTGTTTTTTTCCCCCCACCTGCCAGGTGAGGGTTGTTAGATTTTATGTCAGTTGCCTCCTCCTGCCTCGTCCTCCTCCTCCTCCTCCTCTCCTCCTCGTCCTCCTCGTCCTCCTTGTCATCCTTGTCGTCCTTGTCGTCCTCGTCGTCCTCGTCGTCCTCGTCGTCCTCGTCCAACTGCGACCCGCGATCCACAGTGTTCTCTGCCGGACCTCAACCACGACCATCCACGCCCAGTGTTCCCTGCCGGACCTCAACCACGACCATCCACGCCCAGTGTTCCCTGCCGGACCTCAACCGCGAGTATCCACGCCAAGTGTTCCCTGCCGGACCTCATGTAGGAAGATATGGGACAAAGAATGTGCAGAAGAAAGTTAAAAGATAGAATGCCAGAAGATTTGCCAGATAATATGCCAGAAGATATGCCAGATAGAATGCCAGAAGATATACCAGATAGAATGCCAGAAGATATGCCAGAACATATGCCGGAAGATATGCTAGATAGAATGCCAGATAGAATGCCAGAAGATATGTCATAATATATGCCAGAAGATATGCCAGATAGAATGCCAGAAAATATGCCAGATGCAATGTCAGATAGAATGCCAGAAGATATGCCAGAAGATTTGCCAGATAGAATGCCAGAACATATGCCAGAAGATATGCCAGATAGAATGCCAAAAGATATGTCAGATAGAATGCCAGAAGATTTGCCAGTAAGAAAATGTATACATGTCATGGTGGGGATCACACGAAGTAAAGTAATTTCGGTTTTTGCATCTGCAACATTCTGCAACTATAGATTCTCAATGTAAAATGATTGTACCTCGGGTTTGTCCCCATGATTTGCTGATTTTGCCCCACTGTGGACAGGTTATCCAACCGGAAGATCTTGAGAGTTGTTCTTTGGAACTTCAAGGGGTGATCCATGCTTTTCCTCAAAGGTGAGTTATATATATATATATATACACATATTATACATAATATATGTATATAATTATATATATATATATATCGGTTCTCTCCGACTGCAGGACTCAGAAAGATTTGAACACAACCTGATCCAGCAAATGGCCATGAAGGTCAGCGAACTTGGCTGTGTCAAGGGATCGGCGAACTTGGCCTCACCATACCAGTTGGATCTAACTTAGGATTTTCGGGTGTTCATCAAAGGCGGAAGTCTTCAGAACTGAAAATCGAGGGTAAAATGCGGATTTTGGGATCCCCCCAAGATGATGAAAATCTCATGGGGCACATTTCATTAGCAGATTATGACACACCCAGCATTTTTGGACAAAGCCAGATGATGATCGTTGACATGGGAAACACCTCAATAATTAGCATCCTCACTTCTCAAGCAATTCCAAGATGTCCTCGCGCTGAATCTCACTGCAGAATCCGTCGTCTTAGTTTGCAAGTTGATTCTCAGATGTTGATTGCATGGAACAGTTACAGGAACCCGACCCAGAAACTGTTTGGTAATATGGTTTCTCCATACATATTCCTATCATGTAAAACCAGAAATAACGACGCCCTAGTTTATAATAGGGAGTGTACTGTACTAATTTTATCATTAGTCTGTCACTGTTTTGGTGAACCACCCTTTAAGAAATTGGGTTTGAGACGAGATTTTCCCTAGAAAACACCAAGATTCGCCAGGAAAAAGTCCCTCAACGTGTGGAAGCCTTGCGATCGGCGCAGGCAGAATATCCAACTCTCGTGTCTTCGGGGTGCTTGAGATGCCATAGGGGTGAACGGTAGGGTTATCCAAATGGGTAATGTGGTGAACCGAATTTCAAAAAAACAAAACACAACTTGGGAGATATATCATGAGATGTTCCATTCGAATTGGAAGTTCATTGGTATCCCGGTATCCCCGATTTGTGTAATTACACATGACAACGCAGATTTCCGGGAAATTCGGTGTGATGCGGCCTTGCGCAGGTGGAGAAGCTGAGAGCCAAGGCCGCAGCACGCGAGGAGAAGCTGGAGCAGGCCAGAGGTGTAACCTTTTATGATTCTAATGGCTATAGTAGGCTGTAATCATGGTTATAAAGTTACAACATGTTAAAACCCCCCCATAAGTTGGAATATACAGGCTATAACCATGGGAAATTCTCAAACCCCTATGTTTTTTGGGAGATGATTCCGAGAACTACGGTAAAATCTATCCACCTACAACTGGAACTGCACGTCCAAGTAAGTAGGTGTCCCTAGATGTCCCGAGTCCCCTCATACTGTAGGACTTCACCTGGTGTTCGTCGCCTCTTGATCCTCTTGCTGTAATAATGACGTAGGCGACGTAGGATTCGGAAAGTGCTTGGTGTCTGTGTCCAAAGGAATCGCGGCCCACATTTTGAGGACCATGATCTAAAAACCAATCTTCCGTCTATTTGATGTTTGGAAATCCAAATAGACCTGTACAAAAAATGGGAGCCCAAAGAAGTCCAATAAGCCAGGCACGGTTTGTGGGCCACCTCAATAAAAATGGCAATTTCAAGGCGGGAAAAAGTATAAAAGTATTGGAATATCTGATAAATATGTATATTATATATAAAAATCATTGAAATAGCCGTATTTTTCCCGAGGAGAATATGATACACAATGGGAATAGCACTGGATTTGGGGAGTTTTTCCCAAGATGTTCAGCTTTTTGTCACGCCACATTGACGAGGTCAGAAGAAGACGACAGGAGGACAGGCAGCTGGTGATGGCGGTTTCTATCACCCTGGTGATGCATAGGATTTCACCAGGAATATCGGGAATATCATGGGAATACCGGTGGCTCAACATGGCGCAAAACCAGTAATCAGAGTGGTTGAAAGAAAACATGGACTTTAAGGCCAGGGAGTGTTGGCCTAATTGATCAAGTGAAAACACTGGCTTAGGGATGGCAATTGTAGAACCCAGACAGTACCCTTTTAGGATAGATTCCCCCATGGCCTTCATAGTCTCACAGACAATTTTAAGCTCGGACTGACCTTGACACCGTAGCGCCGTAGCTGCATCTTCTTCATGGATCAAACTTATGGAGCTTAGTTTCCCCTGAGGTTTGGATGTCCTGTGCAAAAAGATGCACCTTTTACATGGCAAAAATCGACGTTTGGCAAAATCGACTTTTCTTTCAGAGCCAACGTCGTCTGCAGGAGCAGGAGATCAAACAGCAGTCACGCTGACATGTTACGCTGTTGGATGCTGTTGGGCAGTAGATGAAAGTGACCTCACAATGACGTCAGCAGATGATGGATACACCAGAAGGAATCGTCATCAAAAAATCATATTCAGCCAGATCAATGGTTGATTTAAGCAACAAAAAGGTATTGTGACATTGACCTGTGATGCTTCCATGTATCGCAAATCGTGTGTAATGATGGATCACAGGCTGGAAGATTTCTGTGAAATATTATGAAATCCTTTTGAGCCGCAAAAAACAGGTTTTTTCCACTGATTTTATATCCCATATGCTTCATGTATGGTATATTTACCATTATTTACCTACAAAACTGGGTGATTTTTTTTGGGCCAATGTTGGTAAATATATATGTAAATATTCCATACATTGAGCATATGGGTGTGGTTTTGTGTTCATGAGCCTCCTTCAGTCATGGATCATCATGGCCTGGCCTGGCCACCAGGAATCTCCGAGAGACGTCCGTGGATCGGAGAGGGAAAGAAAGGACGGTCAGAATGCGGTGCTGGATTTCTGTTCCGAAAGGCGATGTTCATGGGTAAAATGATGATAAACCCATGATGATTTTTGGTGTACCCTATATTTTGATGGGGAAAATATATGAAAATATGGGAAAATGATGATTCACCATCAAGTTCCGGGTCTAAATTCAGAAATCACCAGATTTGGGATGTTTTTTGAACAGTTTTGGTCGTGTTTCGGGTGTTTTCCGGGTGTTTTCCGGGTGAAACCCCAGAACTTGGAGCGGATAGCCTCGATCAAAGGTGGCACTGGGCTAGCGCCACTGGTTGGTTTGTAGCATTGCCCATGGGACCGAATGGAAGAGCCAGGGAGAAAGCAAGGTTCAAAAAACTCACCAATGTGACCAATGTGAAGCATTTCTCGACTGGTTACTGGTACTACGTACTTAACCCTCAAATGGTGTATCATCATTTTCCTTATTGAAATTGCTATAAATTGGGGTCGAGAACCTGATTCCCCAAGCAGGACAACCACAGGGCTTCAGGAGGCTTGTGGCTCGTTGACGACTCGACCAAGACCCCTGGCTTTAAACAGCGGTGTTTGTTTCAAGGAAATTGTCAACTTGCCAATCATCCGCGGAAGCTGAAACCGTGGTCGCGGAAGCAGCGCGGAAGACCGCGCGGAAGACCGCGTAGGATTCGAAGAGAATTACTATAGGGGTTTTTGCCACGCCCTACGTGACTCGAAGACGGAAATGGAGAAAATCTATGAAATTCTATGAACATCTTGCATTTGTAGATGATTTTTCTATATTTTTCTGAGATGTTCCTATTGGAAATGGTATTTTTATGGTGCTGTGCGCTACTTCAGCATGGAAATTTTGATGCTCGGAGGCCATTTCCCAAGAGTTTATCCGTACAGAGATGGTCCTTCGAATGATCCCAGTATACAGAGATCATTTCCAGCGGTGACGTGCCATGATAGATCACAAATTTATCACAATACTTGGGCAAATCTATAGATATTCTGATTGTTTATGATTGTTTCTGATTCTGCTTGATCATTGCTTGTTCTTGTAGTGCTGATTCAAGAATATTTTACCAATATACCATCCATATATCCACCATATTCATCCATATTCATCCATATTCATCCATATTCATCCATATTCATCCATATTCATCCATATTCATCCATATTCATTCATATTCATTCATATTCATCCATATTCATCCATATTCATCCATATTCATCCATATTCATCCATATTCATCCATATTCATTCATATTCATCCATATTCATCCATATTCATCCATATTCATCCATATTCATTCATATTCATCCAAATTCATCCATATTCATCCATATTCATCCATATTCATCCATATTCATTCATATTCATCCATATTCATCCATATTCATCCATATTCATTCATATTCATCCATATTCATCCATATTCATTCATATTCATCCATATTCATCCATATTCATCCATATTCATCCATATTCATTCATATTCATCCATATTCATCCATATTCATCCATATTCATCCATATTCATTCATATTCATTCATATTCATCCATATTCATCCATATTCATCCATATTCATCCATATTCATCCATATTCATTCATATTCATCCATATTCATCCATATTCATCCATATTCATCCATATTCATTCATATTCATTCATATTCATCCATATTCATCCATATTCATCCATATTCATCCATATTCATCCATATTCATCCATATTCATTCATATTCATCCATATTCATCCATATTCATTCATATTCATCCATATTCATCCATATTCATCCATATTCATCCATATTCATCCATATTCATCCATATTCATCCATATATCCACCATATTCATCCATATTCATCCATATTCATCCATATTCATTCAAATTCATCCATATTCATCCATATTCATCCATATTCATCCATATTCATCCATATTCATCCATATTCATCCATATTCATCCATATTCATCCATATTCATCCATATTCATCCATATTCATCCATATTCATCCATATTCATCCATATTCATTCATATTCATCCATATTCATCCATATTCATCCATATTCATCCATATTCATCCATATTCATTCATATTCATCCATATTCATCCATATTCATCCATATTCATCCATATTCATCCATATTCATCCATATTCATTCATATTCATCCATATTCATCCATATTCATCCATATTCATCCATATTCATTCATATTCATCCATATTCATCCATATTCATCCATATTCATCCATGTTCATTCATATTCATCCATATTCATCCATATTCATCCATATTCATTCATATTCATCCATATTCATCCATATTCACCCATAATCATTCATATTCATCCATATTCATCCATATTCATCCATATTCATCCATATTCTTTCATATTCATCCATATTCATCCATATTCATCCATATTCATCCATATTCATTCATATTCATCCATATTCATCCATATTCATCCATATTCATCCATATTCATCCATATTCATCCATATTCATCCATTTTCATTCATTTTCATCCATATTCATCCATATTCATCCATATTCATCCATATTCATTCATATTCATCCATATTCATCCATATTCATCCATATTCATCCATATTCATCCATATTCATCCATATTCATCCATATTCATCCATATTCATTCATATTCATCCATATTCATCCATATTCATTCATATTCATCCATATTCATCCATATTCATCCATATTCATCCATATTCATCCATATTCATCCATATTCATTCATATTCATCCATATTCATCCATATTCATTCATATTCATCCATATTCATCCATATTCATCCATATTCATCCATATTCATCCATATTCATTCATATTCATCCATATTCATCCATATTCATCCATATTCATCCATATTCATCCATATTCATTCATATTCATCCATATTCATCCATATTCATCCATATTCATCCATATTCATTCATATTCATCCAAATTCATCCATATTCATC